GCGCAAGATCGCGAAAATCTTCCGGGCCACGAATTTTGTTTTGTCGCTCTCTGATATCCGTATGTGCCATTGATGGTGTAAATCGATTTACCATCGTGCCCTCTTTCGAACACGATAAAAATCTCGCTGGTTATTTCAACGTGCTCGTAAATCAACGAAAAACGATCCTACGATTTCTACGCGAGGGGGATGATTGTGATTAATTAATCGTTGCGCGAGAACGAGAACGATGAGCGACGAAATAGAGGAAAAGGACAGAGAAAGTATAGGACGACTGTGTGTTGTTGATTCGAGTCTAAAAGGGTATCCCTCCGAGAAACAGTAATCGCGGTACACCGAGAGTTCAGGGTTAGTTGGCCTACTGACGTACTTTAGGATATCCTGAGGGGTCGAGAGGTCGTTGATACGAAATGGCGAGGGTGGCAAGCCGAGCGACCTTGAAGAGCAACTTCCAGGATCGATGTCTGCCGAGTACACGTGTCCCAGCGACTCCTCGTGCTTGCCTGCTCCCTCCTAACCGTATCGCCCTACGCCCTTCTGCTTCCCCTCGAGCTTGGCGGACACGTGCCAGCGCATAAACAACCTTTCGAGACTTACCTCGTGACCCGTCGACATTCTCTTCGTTCGCGATTTCTCCATGACGTCACATCAAGCTTCGCCGTTTTGTGTTTTTTTTTTCTCTCTTTCTTTTTTTCGCAATTCTGCTCTAGCTCTTCATCAAGAGAACTGTTGCAACTGTCGCAAGTTTCGTCTTTCGAGCAAATTATCGGTATATATATTTCAAGAGTCAAGGACAACAAGATGTTCATCGTGATCTTGCATCTGTTTCGACAACTCGACAAACTCCCTCCGGGCATTAACTTTTTAAATTGTTTCGCGTTCTCGATCCATTAGGTACGCCGAGCGACGTGAAAACGAAAGAAGACGCCGCGCCCAAAGCAGTCGTGAGGAAGATCGAGGGAAAGAAGGAGACCTTGGAAAGACACGTGCCGCAAATGTTGCTGAGGGGAGAACAGGTCGCTATAATCATCAAAATCAATTGAGTCAGTGAATACGTCCTACCACCGAGAAACGGACACTGGTGACGTCATGCGACTCCATGTTGCGACGCATCGTACCGCTGGACGAGCAAAGCAATGCAATACCTTGCATACTGTTATTTATTATTTTTTTATTTTTTTACTGCATAACTTTTCTACCACATTTGCTTTATCGAGCAGAACGAAATAAAACTGCGCAATATTTCATTTGGTTTCTATCAATCCTTCAACGACGATTCCTCCGATCTAATTTCAAGTTGTAAGCAACTTGCTGAGCAACGTGTTTAAAAAATTCGGCGCGAAAATTCGAAAGCGGGAAATAAGTAGATTACGATCTTGAGAGAAAGAAGCTAATTTGCATCACTGTACTGTCTGCCGCGACCGACCGTGCGAGAGCTAGGGTGACGAGTTGTTCGATAAGAAGAAGCGATAAGGAGAAATGAAAGAGAGGCTTGAAAGCGAAGGGAGCGAGGAAAAAGAAAAAAAAGAAAAGCGGAGAGAAAAAGCACCCGACGCGGCGCATTGATGGGACTCGCTAACCCTCTGCGTGACCATCGACAAGGAAGTTGCACGAGAAGAAAGTAAATTCGAGTAATTGTTCGACTGCACGGTGTCGCTGCTGTAACTAACTCGCTTTTTCTCTAACGCGGTGCTCGATTGCACGTTAACCGACTCTTTCTCTCCAAGTTCCTCGCGTACTTGCGAAATATACGTCCCAAGAAATAAGAAAGTTTCGGTGGATCGCGCATAAACGAGTAACAGTAACTATTCCCAATGTCAATTCCAATCCAAACCAGCCATAAGTTCGTCGATTTAATTCTTACATTTTATACGATGCTACATCGCACTTTAAATCCAAACGTAACTAAAGCAAAAAAAATGGTTAAGCGACAAAAGCATCGCTCGTAAGCATAGCTACTCCGAATCGAGAGTGACGAAAATTTTTCGTCTTCTTTCGGAACGACCGGACGATATCGTACGCCTGCATCGTTTCTACATCGGAGAAAAGTGCAGCAGTACGTCGGTTGGGCCACGGTGAAAGCAAGATCTCTGTCCCCCCTTGTCCCCTAGATCTAGCGGGGGGAGAGAAGGGGGGGGGCACACACAATCCCGCGAGGCCCTCTCACTTTCGCTCTCCGGAGAAAGTCTGGCAGCCGGCGTCACCGCTGACCGCCCTCCCCCCTCCCTTCTCATCCTCCTCTTCCTTTGCAACCATCGCCGCCGCTACCACGCGGCGGCCTGACCACCACCTTCTACCTCCCTGCTGCCGCACCTACCCCTTCTCTAGGCTCTTCCTAGGCCGCCCCTGACTTCGCAAAAGCGCTCGGCAAAGCGAGCACGAACTCCTAGCTTCGTTGCCGTAAGCACGATAGAGAGACCGAGTCTTGACGGCGGAACCAAGAGAGAGAGAAAGAGAGAGAGAGAGAGA